AAATTTTTTCATTTAACAAAATATTTACCAGCGTTAATTTTTTTTTGAGTAAGATTTGAAAAAAGTTAAAAGTATTTATACGTGTTATGAAGTAGAAAAAGCTATTGATTTTCAGACATAAAACAGCAAAATTAAATTGAATTAAGGGCTGACTGGGATGGGTCAATCAGAAAAAAAAGATAGAATAAGAAATGAGGTTGAAAATATATGTTTAGCAACAGGTGGTAAAAATGAAAAATGTATTTCTATTTTTGTTATTGGTTACCTTTTGTGAATTATAGGCTGTTGCCTCGGTTATCCAACCCTGGCAGCCAAGTTTAATTGCATCGTCTACTTTATAATGCATTAATTTATAGGCTAAACCACGCCGTCGATAATTTTGATGTACCGAAATTACTGCTAAATACAATAATTTGTTGATGTTTTTGGGAACAGACGTCCATATCTAAAAATTTGTATATTTGTTTGTTTGTTTTAAGAAATCAAAACTGCGGAACGGTAGTGGCATTTCAATCCACTGCTTTTCTTACCAAAAATACTGTGGTTAAAATTTGCTCGAAAAAAGCGCTTGATTTCTACTCTAACTTTACAAATATCATCTGCTCGTGAAGTATTTTAAAATTCAAAAGAAAAAAAAAATGAAAAAATTTAAAAGATTATTTTCAGCCAATTTTTTAGGTATCTAACCATTTTGAAGTGAATTCACAGGGTTCAACCAGACTTTGAAGTCTAACCTTTTTTTCAAGTTTGTCTAACAGATCAACAATTATCTTCGACTTCGGTGTAAGTTTGCTGCAATCAAAGACGTCTTCTGCGGGTTTTTCCTTAAAAAATTGTGATTAAAATAGTTAAAGAAATAAATTTCCTCTCAAAAAGTTTGAAGAGCAAATTGTTGACTTCCAGTAATCTTTAAAAATGTAAATGAACTGTTTCTATTATCCTATTATAACTCATCTATATCTGCCACTTAATTAAGTAAGCTTTTGAATCTAATCATTTTTTATACTAGTTGTAAGGCTGATAACTACGAAAAACTGAGTGCAAATTAGCTGAACATTTAAACATCGAGCATGTATTAATGAAGCACAAAATGGCAAGAAAAAAATGCGTCAGAATGTAGTTTTAGGCGGCTAAGAAGAAAGTTGTGTTCCACAATAATGGCAGAAATAGTCTGATGCGATTTTGAAGACCCTACCTTTTAAGAATTATCTGAATGCTAAGATAAAAAACATTTTTTTAGTTTATGAATCTCTGTCATATGCAGTTTTCTTAACAGGATGAGCAACAGAAAGCATTTCTTCGAAAAAGCCACAAAATTTACTGGGGTTGGTCGATGAACAATATAAGATAATCGTACGGCAACAACTTCCATATTTTGATTTCTTAAAGCATAGGATATTTTTGACTTGATTGCGGCTTTTATAAACCCTGTAAGAAAAATTAATTTAGTAACTAAGACTGAAGTGAGATTGACTAGAGCCGTGGCTTGCTCATAAAAGTATAATAACAATAGGTGCAGTAACAGACCTTCAAATATTGGCGTAGCATCTTTAGATTCAAGTTCAATAGCAGCACTGTGCGGTTCGTTTAACAGAAAATCAGCGAAAATAAAGTTCAAAACATCAGTAGCATCTGCTTCGGTAATCAAATATGGCTTTAAATTTCCAAAATCGACGTTCTCCATGTAGAGTTTAGTGACCGAAGGAAAAAGCCGATAGTTTTGTGGTTGTCCACAGCAAAAAAGTTCAGTTGTCGCCAACAACGTTGGGAAATAGGCTTGTTCCAAAAAGCGGCAGTATTCCGTGGGAAGTGAAGTGAATAGCTGCTGTGTTTGCCTAGAAGCTGAAAATTGCAGATATCCAGTTTTTCAAAGTACACAGCTGTAAACTGAACAGACGAAGGTGGAACTACATGTTGTTTACTGAGGAAATCAAGCAACAAAATTGAACAATTTCTATTTGTTCATTCCACGCTCTCTTTCCTTCTCGTCCTTCCTGCCATCAGTTTTTCCTTATCCAACGAATAACTACTGAATTTTTAATAATTTTCCCACAAACAATAAACAATCTTAAAAGTATCAGCTTACTTTTTGCTTTCAAAATATTAATACCTATTTGCAACAGTTGTTATAAGTTGTTAGAAAGCTGTCTGGAGGTTAGGTAAGTCTAGAAAGAAACAACTGAATTGTTGGTCACCCAGCCGTAACATTGAAATTGATGTCTATGGGGTTTTATTCATCGTTTCCAAATCGTTTAGACTAAAGCAGTGAGGTAAAAAAAAAATCACTAGCAAACATAAACTATAAAACTATTAACGTATTTACTGTAAACTTTATTTTCATATATAAAAATGTTAAATAATTCAAAAATAGCTTTTTTTTTGAAATTTTTTCAAAGTAATAATTTATTTTAGTTAATGTTTTGCTGCGTAAACATTACTTTATTAGAATTTAGGATGAAAAATAGCGTATATATTTGCTAAAGATAATCCATAACAGATTAGTAAATGAGAAAATTTTAAAGATTTGTAGGAGTAGTGGAATAAACGAGAAGCATGTTGATGCTTGCAAATTTAAGCTTTGATTTATTACCAGTTTTAATTGACTATAGACAATGGGCAATTTATCTGCTAAACAACGTAACAAATTTAGTGTTTTTTTTCCTAATTTATGATTTAATTTTTGCTATTTTATAACAAAATCTTTCACGAGGTTTCTGCTATGTTAACAAATGTAATTCTCAAATTTCAGTAATCATTTATCCACACATTGAAATATAAGGTAAAAAAGCTTGATAGCTAATAAACTGATGTTTGAATTACATTGTATATTCAGTGTTAACGTTGTTCTGTCACCTTTCTAAAAAGTAAAAATCTTAGAAATTTCTCTTTCAGACTCTTCAATTTTGACCATAAAAAATTGATTATGTTCGGTATATATATATATATATTTTTTTTTGAATAAGAAAGCGAAAATAATTAGGCTGAAATATGAAAAGTAGTGCTTAAGAAACAGCAAAATCAATACACAGGAAAAAAATTGTTTGAGCAGACCAATGAATAGATCAAATTTAGAAAGGTATAAATTTTTGCTACAATTGTACTTGTTTTTTTTTTTTTTTTTTTTTTTTTTTTTTTTT